TCTCTCTCTCTCTCTCTCTCTCTCTCTCTCTCTCTCTCTCTCTCCCCCCAACTGTCAATGATTGAGTTCAGTTATCAATAAATGATGTAATGCATAATGCATAGTGACGAAAGTGCATTATAAACGATGTAGCATTGTGTTATTTCCGCTTCGTGTAACACTCGCTATGGCATTTGCATCAACCCACCAAACAGAGTGCATATAGCATGACTAGGACTACACATCTTATAACATTAGCTCACATAAAGACATGCCGCGTGGTCATGTGCAGCGCAAACAAGAATGGAGGATAATCGAAGGTGCAAAAAAAGATGGACCGTAGACTTGACAACAATGAACTTGACGGAGCACGAGATGGAGACACTCACACGATTGCCGATTGATATGGGGAATAAAGACATCATAGCAAGCTCGTATAACGAAGACACAAGGGAGGAACTCACGATGACTGTTAACGGTTTTAGCTTACTAATGGTAGAAAAAAAATGGTTGAATGAGGAGAAAGTAAATTTTTATCTTAACCTCGTCCAACTAGATAAGGAGTGTCGTGGGAAGCATGTAGACTGAGACTCGAATAATGAGAATGTGGCTAGAACAGGAAAGGCGCGCATCCCTAGAATAGCAATTCTCAGCTCGTTTTTTTTTGCCAGACTATTTGATAGCAATATGAAGATCCACTACGATAAGGTTCGCAAATGATTCACAAAGATTGTGATTAGCGACATGGATTTGATTATTGCACCTTTCCATGTCTTGCACAACCAACATTGAACACTCGTAGTGTACTAGTGGCAGACTTGAGACGCATGAAATTCGAGTACTACGACTCGCTGACACCGGACAAAAAACTCACGATGAAGGTGACAGGGGGGTTCGCAAAATTTTTGTACATGAGATCGATCGAACAAGGTCAAGAGATCGACACCAAACACTTCAACCATATATGGAGGGTGGAAGGCATTCCAAAGCAACACGACTTCAACGAGTGCGGTGTGTTTATGCTCACATATGCATCGCTGTTGGCG